GATGGGATTCTGAAGTTCCGTGGACGGTTATGTGTACCCGGTGATGCAGAACTGAGGGAAGAGATTTTGTCTGAAACGCACCGTAGTAATTATAGTATTCACCCGGGTAGTACGAAAATGTATGAGAACTTGCGACAACATTATTGGTGGAACGACATGAAAGTGCATGTGCCCAAGCACGTGGCCAAGTGTTTAACGTGTCAGTAAGTGAAGGCGCAACATTGCAAGCCGGGTGGAATGTTGCAGCCATTGGAAATTCTCGAGTGGAAATGGGAACACATCACGATGGACTTTGTTATGGGATTCCCGAGAGGCCAAAGGGGCCATGATTCAATTTGGGTTATGGTAAATCGATTGACAAAGTCGGCACATTTTCTGGTAGTACGAAAGGACTTCGCGTTAGAAAGGTACGCAGAGCCGTACCTGTAACAGATAGTTTCGTCTACATGGAGTGCCAGTGACGATCACCACGGACCGTGATCCCAAGTTTACTGTCGCTTTTTGGAAAAGTCTTCACATGGCACTAGGAACGAAGTTACAGTTTAGCATGGCCTATCGCCCCCAAACGGATGGCCAGTCTAAAAGGACAATTCAGACTTTGGAAGATATGCTGCGGGAATGTGTATTGGATTTTAAAGGTAGCTGGGAGGAACAGTTGCATTTGGTCGAGTTTGCCTACAATAACAGTTATCAGCAGAGTATCAAAATGGCACCTTTTGAGGCGTTGTATGGCAGAGCGTGCAGAACTCCAGTCTGTTAGGACGAAGTTGGGGAACGGAGTATAACGGGTCCGGAATTGGTCCAACAATCAGTCGAAGCAGTTAAGGTTATTTGGGACAGACTTAAGATTGCTCGGAGTCGAAAGAAGAGTTATGCGGATCGGAGATGTAGGCCCTTGGAATTTCAAGTAGGGGATCATGTGTTTCTCAAGGTTTCACCGATGAGAGAGTTGTCTCGGTTTGGTAAGAAATGGAAGTTGAGCCCGAGGTACGTAGGTCCATTTGAAATATTGGAAAGAATCGAAAATCTGGCCTATCGTCTCGCGCTACCGCCAAATTTGTCTCAAGTGCACAACGTATTCCACGTGTCTACGTTAAGGAAGTACGAGCTGGATCCGACCCACGTTCTGAATTATGAAGAAATAGACGTGGACGACAGAATATTGTACGTGGAAAGACCAGTAAAGATCAAGGACAGAATGGAACGAGTGCTGCAGAACAAGACAATTCCGATGGTCAAAGTAATTTGAGAGCACCATGGAACTGAAGGTGCGACGTGGGAAAGCGAAGAGTTGATGCGACACCAATACCCCCATTTGTTCGAATAGTTGGGTTGGATTGTAAATTTCGAGGACGAAATTTTTGTAAGGGGGAAGAGTTGTGACATTCCGAATTTCGACCCATTTTTGGGATTTATAAAACGTGTAATTCGTCAGTGTGCTTATAGTAAAATCTCGCCCGAGAACTGATCACTCTCGGTTATTGTTTTTAAAATTGAGATTTCGCTAGAATGGTACTCGATCGAATTTGGCCGTTATTATAGCCCAAACGTTGGTGTCGAATTTCTCGGAGTTCTGGGATGAATTTAATTGGACGGTGTCGATATTATTGTGGCCAGCCTCGATATTGCCCGGGATATGCGAAAAGTGAAATTTTGACCGGGTGCGGATTTGGCCTAGTAGACCTCTCTCGTAGTGTGTTTTAGTTATTATCTTTTAGCCTTTTTCCTAATTTATAATTAGGGTTTTTCGTAGGCCATTGGATTATTTTCGAATTTGCACGAGGATCGTCGGATCGCACTCAAGTGCGTTTGACTTTCTCTCTCCTCTCTCTCTCCTCTCCTCCTCCCCCGCCGAACGCCCCATGCTGCCCCACGTTATTTCTGCTTTTGTTTCTGCTTCTGTTTCTGCTGCTACTTCCGCTGACCTCTGCTACTTCCGCTGACCTCTGCTGCTTTTGCTGACTTCCTCTCCCCCCACGTCGCTGCTGACCATCCCCACCAACTCACCCACTCCCCATCATTTCCCCCTCCTCCATGTCTTCCCTTTCTTCATCTTTTTCTTCTTTTCTTCTGGGCTGCTACTGATCACGTTGCTGCTGCTTCTACCCCTTCGCTGCTGCTGCTGTCTCTTCTTCTGTCTTCTGCTTTCGCTCGGCTTCTTCCTCTCCTAGCCGAGACCAGCTCCACCACTCGGCCATCACCACCACCCACGATCACCCTCACACCATCACCGACCACCTGAGCTACCATCCGCTGTCCGCCCTCGCCGTTGCTTTGCCGGAGTAGCCATTGCCGTGCCGAGGCTCTCTATTGCACCTGTTGTTCGGTTTTCTTGCTTAGGCTAAGAGTAAGTGCTCCCTAAGCCTTAGTTAGGATAATGGGTTACTAATGGACATATTTAGGGGTGGATTAGGGCTGTGGATAGTTAGTTTAGTGGCTGGTTGTGCTTGGTTTGCTTGGTGGTGCTTGTTGGTTGATTTCCGGTAAGGTTGCTGCTGCGTTGCTGGATTTTGCTATTTTTGGTGTGACTTGTGTGGGCCGAATTTGAGGAAGTATTCTTCATGAGAGTTGTTCATAACATCTTGAAGTTTGACATAATTTAATTTGGGAATTTTTGGAAATCATTTGAGGCCATTCGGAAGTCCATCTTTGGACCGAAATAAGTCTGCCGGAAACACTGTTCCTCCGACCTTCGGGTCTGTTCGAATTTTTATAAATTTTATAGACCTATTTTCAAAATACTTCCTTCACAAAACTTGTTGGGGACATTTGTGGCTATGTCATATAAAAATTTCAAATCTTTCTAAGGAGATTTGGTTACTTCTTGAAATGCATTTTGAAAGCCGGATGGCCAGTCCGAATGAAATATTTTATGTCGGACTTTGGATGACAAAAAGAGGTGGTTCTAGACAGAAATGGATTTTGTGTTCTTCATGAAAAATGTTCATCGAGATGTTTTGTACAACATATCCAAATTTCATAATTTTTGGAATTGATTTACTATTTATTTCAAATGGATTTCTGTCACTGTGCAACTGCCCAGTTTGGACCTGATTTTGTATATTCTCGGTTTTTCTCTCTCTCGGACTGATTAGTGGCTGTCCATTGAGGATTTAATTGGGCCTTGTACGGCTAATATATGGTTTGTTCGTGAATTGCCATGTGTGATTGGTTGGGCCATGTAGTGGCTGATTTGGGTGTGAATTATGCTTGATTATGCAATGCCATGTTGAGTGCTAGTGTGACCGAGAATTGAGGGGCATGGCAGGCCTTGAGTGTGCTCAATTATATTGATTAATCGTATGAATTCGGGTGCCAAATATGTGTTGTGGCTAATTTAAATTGAGTGCCCGAGTGTGATTGTTATGGCCATGAGTGTGCATATTGAGCATTGGCATAACATGTGCATTATGTGAGTATGCACGACTGGCATGAGCATGTGATCTCCTAAATCGCCCTGATGCGTTTACGCGAGGTTCAGATAATAACTGGTGGATGTGCATGTGTGGTCACATAAAGCCCTGATGCGTTTATGCGGGGTATTGATCTCGTCCTGATGCGTTTACTCGGGACGATGCCCGGATTGCCGGAAGATGGCCAACCTGATGTGTTTACGCGGGTGTGGTCCGTATATGGAGATCGGTGTTGCGCCTGATGCGTTTACGCGGGCTAGAGACACTGGGCCTGATGCGTTTACGCGGGCCAGGAAGTGTTGGATATTGATGGACCCGATGCGTTTACGCGGGTCGGACTTGATGTGTTTTACGCGGGTCGGAAGTGAATAATTGGAAAGTTGGCACGTGTGCAAGTGTGCAAGTGTGCAAGTGTGCATTGAATCGTGCAAACATAAGCATGACATTGGCAAGTGTGCGAATAGTGCATTTTCGAGGGCAAGCATGTGCATGGCATGTGTTCGTGGCCAATTGATATGGGTGTATGTACCATTGTTGGGCTCAGTGCCATTATTGTTATGTGCCTAACCTGCAGGATCACTATATGCTTGATTTGGGCCCGAGGGCCTAAGTCGTGTGGTTGCTCTATTATGTGTTTGGGTAAAACTTGCCTGGGTACGCATTGGCCTAGGTAGGGTTTACAGTGTTGCTTATTGAGACTCATTCTCATGGTTATTATATAACCATTTCAGACCCCCGTCTCCAACCATGAATGGTCCGTCACAGCGTTTTGGGATCCCGAGGAAGAGCCGATGGAGCAAGATCCCGAAGAGGAGCCCATGGAGTTGGTGGACCCTTTTTGTATAGCTAGGCTAACCTACCCGACCACTTGCCCCTTTTGATGATGGTGGTTTTAATCCTAGTGGCCTTTGTATGTAAAGTTGGATTTTATAAGTACGTGCCGTTAAATGAAGTATGTGGTTCATTTGTTCAAGTGTTCTACTACCCTTGGTCTTTAATCTTGTCTGGGTGCTTTTAATCGTTTCCGCTTGCGCTTTATGTTTTGATGTTCGCATGAGTCGGCGATGAGTCCTAGGACGTCGCATTCGAATTATGACCACAAAGGGATGATCGCGCGCTCGTAGGGTTCGGAGCGTGACAACCTTCGTGGAATCTTGAAAATAGTTGGGTATCAAAAGCAGGATGAAGGTAGTAGATGTTGAGGGAGGGAATTAGAAATCAACATCTACTTGCCTAGACTACCATGTAGCAAATAGTAAGGCTAATAGTAAATAGATATACAACAAATGGTTTCATGAGAGAATGAAGATGAGGAGCTCTTTGAGTCGTACGTGAAGCTAGGTTCCTAGAGTTAAGGGTTGTGTTTCTCAAAGTTCGTGGGCTTCAAACTTTGTGGCTGATGTAGAGAGCAGAAAAAGCATACCATCAACTATTATAGCAATTTTTTACGGACTTCGAAGCAGGACGCGTTGATTGTTACAGTTACAAAGCTTCATTCTCGATGAGTTAAAGCCATTTCTAGAAAGTCTCAGGTACTCCAACGAGACTGTTCCGATCCTGAAGCGGTTAGCTCCAAGTGGTGTGCTCTGCAAATCTCTGCCTTCCCCTGCATCCGATTGAGTTTTGATCTTCGGAAAAGAGACCGCGAGAGACTCGTGAAAATGAGTAGGTTGATTAATTTGTTGACCGTATAGAAGGGAGAGCAGCTTCCTATGCCACTTTCAACCTCACCTACTCCCACTATCTGCTCCCTCTTTCATCTTCTTTTTAACTTTTTACGTAATTTTGCCTTAATATTTACACTGAAAATATATGCTTCTTATGTACATGGCAACAATCGGCAGAAGAAAAAGAATTATTGTGCTTATGAATGAGGTGCTAATGATAGGTATCGTTGGGTATCTATGGCTGTTTGCGGAGAATTAGGATCTTATGGGAAAACTACTAACAGGTATTCTTAGTCTTAGTTATACGAGAGATTAATTGCAATCTTTATATGCATGTTTATAAGTAACATTAAGTACAATTTAGAAGTAACATAACCACAGTTATGAGGAAAATTAGCATCCTTCAAGAAAAGTTACTATCGTTACACCCGATATAATAGACATTTCTAGCTAGGACCCTAGTTGGTCATTTCCGCGGTCCTCTCGTGTTTAATAGGTTGAACTTCCAATTCCATTCCACCGTAGTGGCATCTATAACAAAGTATTCCGATTTGATTAGGCATTAGTTCAAGAAAAGATGGGCATTTATTAATCCAGATCAGCTCTCAAACGTTCCATGAGTGAAGTAAAGCACCTGCTTCCACCATTACCATGACGGACAGCTCCCGTTCATAAAGCACGATGCAATGCAATCGGCTTAAAAAACGTCCCTGTTGCATCCTTATCCCAGATATTTTGTTTGGATCTCACACCATTGCCAAAAATGCAGTGAAGCTCCTGGTCATTTAAAGCATTAGGGGCAAGAGAAATTGTCATCACCAAATGAAGAACGAACAGAAGGATGCAAATTCGAATGTAAAGATACTAACTGATTGTACGAACATGTGAGATACGATATAGGCATGATTAAAAACAAGAAAGAGCGCAACATGATTCCTACCAGAGTTTCCACCGTACAGGATGTTACTTTTGACAGTATCAAGTCCATGAATCCACCCTCAGATTGAGCAATCCATGTATTAGCATCTCAATTGACAAACAAAGTTGAAGATAGATCCATGGAAATTCATCATCTCAACATCAGCGTCCTAGATTTGAGAAAAGTAAAAATCTTATGATATTGACAGAATAAGTGGACATAAGCTACTAAAAATGCAATTAAAACCACATATACATGAGTAGTTGGCATGATCAATCAATTGTTAAAAGTGTTATTCTACATTGGTTGAATAAAGGGTTTCAACAAGAGTCATATGCATGTAGTCTACCTCTAACTAATAGCTTAAGCTTTTTTGGTGGAACTTTTCCTAACAATGATTTAGTTCGTTTTTGTTATGCATGAATGAATGAAAGAAACACATAATAAACATCCTGTGCTCTAGGAAACCAACCTTGATAAAAATTAGCAAAAGGCAATGCTCTGTTTGGATAAAGAAATATTCGTATCATGTCAAGGATGAAGAGTCTTACTCTGCGACTAACGAGGTATAATGATAAGCAATGTACTTCGAAGGCATTCATATCTATTTTCATTCCCACCAGAATCACAAGCCAGATGATGCTGAAGCATTGCATTCACTTAGTCAACCAATTTCCCCGAGATTCCTTGAAATAAGACAGAAAACCATAAGACATCGACACGAAAAACCCCATGCCAAACTGAAATTACTAATGTGAAGTAGGTACTCTCAACTGAATATGATACTTTACCTGATATATTTACATTTACTAGGAAACATGGACGATCTCCAGAATCCGATCTCTGTCGTGCTGCCATCATGCGAATATTTTTCATAATTCTACATGGGTCATATGTGTTCTCCATCATTCTGGTATTCTCTGTGTAAATGAATATCTTTTCTTTGTCCTTCTGCATAAATGGGACAACCACATAGCGGAAGAAAACCAACCTTAATAGAAGTCGGAGAAAATTATTACTTTATTTACAACAAGGGCAGATTGATATCATGTCGGGGATGAAGAATCTCTTACCATTTGACTGAAGACATCTAATATGCTTTTGGAGGCATCATGATCTTTCTTATTCTTACACGAGCCAGATAACTATGAAGCATTACATTTACTTGCTCGAATAACTTCCCCCAGTTCCTGGAATTAAGACAGAAAATAATAACACGTCAAAGAAAGGCCGCATGCAAACTGAAAATGCTAATGAAAGCAGGGAATCTCAACAGAAAAACGGCAGTTTACCTGCTATATATAGATGTGTGTGTGTGTGTGTGTTTAGTAGGAGACTTTAGCGATCTCCAGAATCAAATCTTTGTTGTGCTGCCATCATTCTGTCATGAACCGCAGTGTTCTCAACTCAATCTTTCTGCTGTTGCTCGCGTCAATGTTTCCAGTACTATCAAAGGTTAAATCTGACTTTAGCTCGCAAATCTTAGTCAGCTTCTTGCTATTTTTTCCCTCTAGAATCATGACATCCAATTTGCTAAAACGTCTGGTAATTTCTTGAGTGACTTGCACCCATCCCATCCAAAGTGTTCCAATTTTATCTTATCATGGCAGCGAATTTCAATTAAGCTCTTGCAATTATTAACAATCAATTGCTTCAGATCCTTCGAATTTGAAAGGTCCAGTTGTCGAATGTGCTTGCGTGCAGAGATATTCAACACTTCCAAGGATTTCAATTGGCCAAGGCCTCCTATCGCATGGAGATGATCCACCTTTCCATCGCAGCTTTGCAGGTCCAAGTATCTCAACGACTCTAAATCTTCAAAGTCGTCGAGTTTGGACAACTCTGTGCTTGTGGATACGTCCAACTTTCTTAGGGATTTTAAAGCTTCCAGACCATCCAATTTCTTCAGCCCATAGCATTGCACTAGCTCTAATTCCGACAAAAATTCCAAATCGGAAAGATTTGACAGAGTTTCCAAATTGGGACATTTCCAAACGCGAAGCTTCCGTATGCAGGGGGGAAGCGCTGTTATGCTTTGAAGAGACATACAAGAGTGCAGGGCGAGCTTCTTTAGATGCCTCAGGTGAGAAAGCGATGGAAGCTCGTGGCTCCGACAGGTGAGCTGCAGGGATGATAAGCTAAACGGAGGTTCTGGCAGTGACTGAAGCTCACTACAGTAAAGTAAATCGAGGTGGTCGAGAGTAGAAAGCTCACAGAGTTTTTCTGGCAAGAGCGAAATTTTTGCTCTACCTAAACGAAGCGACTTTAGAGAAGACAATCCACCTATATCTTCAGGAATTTGCCCTTCCAGTTTATGGCAGCCTGAGGCATCTAACTCTTGGAGGCTTTCCAATTTTCCAATGGCGCTTGGTAACTTTTCTATCTCGCTATGAGAAACCCTCAGAATTTCCAATTTCTTCAATTTCTCGATGGATTCGGGTAATTCCTTGATCCTTGTAGATGACAAGTCCAGCTCAACCAACTCTCCCAACTCTCCAATTGAAGAAGGGATCTGTTTCAACATGTAGCAGCGCTCTAACGACAAGTGCTGTAATTTCCCAAGGGCCTCGAAGGAGTCCGGAAGTTCTTGTAATTTTTTACATGTGTTCAATTTCAAGGTCGACAAACTTACCAGACGGCTTATTGATTTGGGAACTCGAGTCAGTAGATGACAACCCACGGCACTAAGCGTCTTCAGCTTCGGTAGAGATCCTATACATGAAGGGATTTCTTGTATATCCGTCTCATCTACGACAAGTTCCTCCAGTTCTATTAATTCATCCAGTTTTTCCGGTAACACCTTGAGACTCCCACAGTACCTCAAGTTCAAGGAAACGAGGCGTTTGACATCTCCAATGGATGGATCGATTCTCTCCAAATTCTCACAATTTTCCAGGATTAGCCGCTCTAAATTTTCAAATGCAGAGAGATTAGGGGTGCTGGTTAAATCTAAGCACCTCGATAGATTGAGAACTTTCAATTTCTCCATCTATAAGAAAGAAACATGTTCCGAGATTAGTCGTTGGAAATAGAATGATTTATCATCGAAATGTAAAAAAAGAGAGTGTTTCTCATCTTTACCTTGATCGAACGCCATCCTCCCCAATTTTGACCAATATGACCACCCGATAAATCAAGTATGAGTAATTTCTCCAAATGAACATTGGTCGCCTTGAAAGAGTCAGGACATCTCTCCCACTTTAGCCATCTTAATCCCGAAAGTGATTTCTCGAAATCTCCATCAAAATCCACTGCTTTCACATGAAGGAACTTCAGTTCACGCAATTCCTTAAAGCTCTCTTGCTTCATGAACTTGCTTGAGCCACTTTCGTCCAGACGTAGTGCCTCGATAGTTTCATTAACCTCCTACAAAAAAATTGAGGATCGTATGTAACACCACAAGGCATTCCCGATCTTGGCATGAATAGCAGTCCATCAACCGCCTTTTGTTAGACTAGATTTCTCAAATATATAGGTGACCTTTTTCTAATTGCATAATCATGTAATAAGTCACTTTCCACTGGTATGTTACAAATTTTGATGACAAATGTAAAATTCCTACATAAAAGAAATTGTCTAGGTAAACATATATAAAGAAATGGAGCTTTGTGATTGAGCCACATCATCACAAAGCTCCATTCGCTTCCACTTCTCTTAATACTCATTAAACACATTGTTAATACGTTAATTTTCAGCATAAAATTGCAGAAAACGTTTATGCATTTTATAGTGATCTAAGATATTATTTAACTTAATTAACATTTAAATAGGTAAGTTTTCAAACCTGTGTGATGCTTGGTCTTCAACAAGTAATATAGTAAGAAGCAGTAACAAATCGGCACGAAAATGATGTTAACACAACAAAAAAGCAATATAGATAGAGTTAACAATACACATCTTTTTTTTTTCTTTGAAATGAACAATACACATCTTTGGTAGCCCTTTTCTAAGTCTCATATTATTTATGTCATATGCATCAGGAGATGACCTATTGAATAGTCTCGAGTGCAAACAGCATGTGGAGAATGATCAAAGATCTAGAGAAATAGAACCATAACAATAATAATACGAGGGACTACCAACTTAATTGTTACCTTGCGTCCCAAAATTTTCACGGCTTCCTCGTCCCATAGTCTGCTACGATGCCACGGCTTCTTATCCGCTTCACAAGCGATTTCTTTACCTAGATCTCTTAATTGATCATGCATTCTCAACTCATCGTTATCATCAAATTCTATTAATGAAAGTTCAATCATTCTTTCCAATCCGGATATTGGGTACAAATTGAGATCTTCCCATAGGTAGATGGCAATTTTTTTGTCAGTTCCAGCAAAAAAACATGCTATGTCTAAAAACATTTGTTTTCCCTTATCTTCTAATGTGTTGTAACTTATCTCCAACTTTTGTTGTACTTCCTTTTCAGGTGCATTACTCAGTTTTGCCAGATTCTCTTTCCATACTTTCGGATCTTCTTTTCCTCTGAGAAGTGAACCTATAACCCTGAGAGCTAAGGGATGCCCCCCTGTGTTGGCAACAATCTCATGAGAAAGAGTCGCAAGTTGTGCTGGAGGTGTTGTTTTCCCTTCAAACGCATATATGCAAAACAAACGTAAAGAGTCCTTTATTCCTTTGAGTTCATGCATGTATTTAGACTCCAAAATGGCCTTATCTTGACATGTAACAATGATTCTACTTCCTGACATGAAACTACTACCATCTCCAATCAAAGTCTTCAGGTGGTCTTTCTTATCGATATCGTCAAGAAGAATAAGTACCTTCTTTTCTTTGCAATTGGATTTGATTTGCCAAATACCTGTATGAGAATCAGGCACTTGATAGTCACGGATTCTTAGTATATCCGAGATTAGTCGAGATTGCATATGCTCAATACCCCAGCGATTAATTGTTTCTCTAATATCCATAAGAAAGCTCCAGCACTCAAATTTGTCAAAAAGTTTGTCATATATGATTTTCGCCAGAGTTGTCTTACCAATGCCGCCTATCCCGCAAATCCCAATAATTCGAGTATTGGTGTAAGCAGTGTCCACCAATCTCATTACTTCAGCCACGTCATCATCAATTCCAACCAAATTATTGTGAAGACTTAACTGAAAATCTTCTCGCTGCTGGAGCATTACAGTTGCTACAAGTTTATCTACTAATTTCGCTTCACTCCTGTCAAACAATACAGCACATGATGACTTAATAATGGCTCCACAAAACAAGGATTAAGGATGATAAGTAGAAGCATTCTTCTTCCAACAAGGATCTGTTAAAACAAGGTGAGCGAAAGTACCCATTAGCGAATTTCTCTGGTTCGAATACTCTAACGTCAACTACTTTTTCAAGCGCTTTCGGCCCTTCCTGCTTGACACTCTCCCTAAAACGTTCCTTACTGGATTCGAAAGCCTCTCCAAACTTTCCCTTTAAGTGTCGCACCTCGTAGGGTTTCACCTTGTAAAGCACGGGCAAGACTTTTTGTCCTCTCGTTTCCTTGCACTTCATTATATGAATGAGCTCCAGGAGGCACCATTCGCTAGAAGCATAGCTTGGCGAGATGACTGGAATTGAAACCTTAGAGTGCTTGATTGCACTGATAAGAGTTGCAGCAATGGGGTCACCGTACTTGATTTTCTCATCATCTTTGAACGTGAAATTTGGATCAAACCTTAGGCCCACAGCTTCAAGTCTACTGGAGAGGTGATCGATGAAGCCATCGCGAGTATCAGGGCCTCTAAAGCTCAAGAAGACATGGTAATTGTTTTCTATCACAGAGGTGGACGAAGCAGATGCCCCAAAATCACATCGTTCTGGTGAGGTGGAGGAACAAGTGGCTCCAGCATCCTCGTGTTGTCCGCCAGGAGTTGTGAGTGGGCGCAACATCATAAGTTCTAGAGGCTCCGGCATCCTCCGATTCTTCTTACCAAAGAAGTACCCAGCCATAAAGAAAAGAATGGGTGTGAAATGAAGCCAGAAAAGTGTCAACCAAGAAGATTACTCGACTATTATGTATATTTTAATCTCTCAAAGCAAGCTTAATTTAGTAACAGAGGTGGCAAAACGGCAAGAAATTTTCTCTCTTTCTCTCTCGTGACCACGCATAGACAATGAATTGCACAAGGAAACGAAGAGAGAGAGAGAGATCCCGCTCGAAATTCACCTGTTGCTGTTGATCGACGACCACGACAGACTTCCCCTTCCCATTGTCGACGGAAGCAGATGGCCTAGAATCATTACATTCTGATGAGGCCAAGGAATTTGAGGCTCTAGAATCCTCATGTTCTCCGCCAGAAATTGTATATTGCTCCCTCATCCTCGTCCTTAGGGAGTTCATCCGCATGAAGAAAAACAGCGCCGTGAGCACGAATGCCGCCGACATCAAGAACCCAGTGGCCACGAGGCCAATGGTGAGAGCCGCCGGGATGAGCACTGGGCTGAAGAGGACGAAGAGCGGGGCCATGACAGCGAGCCCGATGAGGGTGCCCGCTAGGGTGAGGCCCGCCAGGAGGAGGAGGACACCGCCGAGCAGGACGAGCATGACGACCTTGAGGACCTGGCCGGTCGAGGGGCCCCTTGTGGAGGAGAGGCCCCTGGGCTCCTGGGTTGCGGCGGCCTGGGGTTGCTGGCGGGGTTGGTCCTCCATTTGGTTGCAATGGTTCTAGGAGTTGTTTTGAGAGATTTGATCGAGAGTGATTGTCTGATGCAGGAGATTAGTAAGTAGAAGAGGCGAGACAGTGAGCTACCATTGGACAATGTTAGCCTGAAGGTGCATTTTGAGCCTCTAATGTCACTTTAAAAGCAACAGGCTACAGGACATTTGATTAATTAATAATTCAGCTTAATTAGTAGAAGATTGCAGGCATTTTATGGAAGAGGGAAATGAACAATTCTGTTTAATTCAATAACTTAATATTGATATGAAATCAATTTCCTATGAGACGACTTCAAGTTCACGTAACAAATTCCAAAAGCAAATTTGAACTCCCAAATAAAAATATTGATGGTATATAATAATACACAGAAGAAGGAAAGAAAATATATGGGACACAAGGAATATATACTATGGACTTATATATCTCTTTTTTTTTTTTTTGCGTGTACGTACACAACAATAAAAAAAACTCTATTATTTACACTTTGAAATACAAAGTTAATATCTTTTCATAAAGAAAAAGGCTTACCGGTTTCTCTTAATTTTATCGGTCTCTTTTGACTCGACTACACAATGATAAAATGATAAGCAATTACTTGATGTAAATCTAGGGATCATCTATCCATATTAATGTGAACTTTTACTTTCTAAGTGCATTGGCGATTTTTAAAAAAATTTCTCCAAAAGCAAAGTTAAGATATTTACACACATTCGAGATTTAATTATGAAAAATATATTCATTTTGTTACATTATGGATGCTAACAAAGACAATAATTGCTTCATCCGAACAAAAAAAGAACATAAAAGCAACACATTATTTCTTAATTATTTTTTGATACAGGACAATGACGTATTGTAAATGAAATATTTAGGAACAGAGGATTCCCCACTCGGTGTGTTTTGCAGCAAATCCCACCAAGTGGAAATGAGTGATGTAGACTGCACCGTTTACTTTGGGAACAATGCAGTCAGCTTCTCATTTTCCTTTCTCATGCATCCCCTCACGATCTCACACCAAACTACGTGTAAACCACTTCCACACCTCTGCTTCTACACCCTATTTAAATGGTGAAAAATGAGAAGATGATTGCACCGTCACTGTCACATTTTAAAAAAAAATTATATAGACATTCCTGCTCTAATTTGTTTATGGACTCCCTGTATTCCTGGGTTACCGGTTGGGGCCATAGAGAAAAAAAGAAAGAGAAAATGACCCTGGCATTTTGCCTTTCCCTAGTGGATGAATATTTGGAATTAAAAAATCGGTTTGAAGACGTTTAACGCGAACACGTGATTGAACTAGACTAAGTCAAATTGCATTATCTTACTGAATGAGTTTGGATGCATGTATATAAACGGTTCGATTAATTGGTCCGAGAGAATCATTAATCTTTCCCAAGCCAAGATATTCCTCTGGACTTTGGGGAAACATAAATATATATATATATAAAGCGAGATGCCGATGCACTGCGCAGATTTAAAACTAGATTTGTTATATTATTTTAAGTATTTGATGTCGACTTGAATTTTTCGCAAGAAAAATTAATGTTTAGAAAATTGTAACAAAATAAATATTTATATCAATCAAATTCTCTGCTAGCATTTACGTGGAGTTTTATTTTTATATAGATTTATTCTTCTATTAAAAGAACGCATAAGACATAAAATTGTGATGTTTGTTGACTCATAATGTAAGTCATGCAATGTTTCGAGCACCTAAATTGATATAAACTAACAAGAAACATGAAAGGATAAAGTAAGAACGATATTTGCCCTCTATTTATCTCCTAATTTCACATATTTCAGTTTCTTTTTTCTTGGAAGTTCTCTCTTCTCTTTGGTAACCGTGTTATGTCTATATTTTTGTTTTGACAAGAGTTGATTGTTTCTCATTATCCATGACAATAATATCACATAGAGAATGATAGGAAACTTACAAAGATATGCTGAGGAAATTCAAAGATATGGTCCAACCCGATACTGAGAATATTATGCTCAGATGTTGCACAAACTTTGCTCTAGTTTCTAATGAAATGCGTTTCTTTTTCGACCAAAAAAAATGAGAAAAATCACTTCAAATTAGATAATTATGATGACACTCTTACAAGAAGAATGTGAAACCTCAGTCTTATATTTTGGAGTAAACCTCACTTCAAAAGTTGCATCCCTTCCCTAAAACCCGAACTTAAAAAAGATGACCATCCAGAGCTAAGTTTTTTTGCAATTTCTACTCCATAATGGCCAACATGGAAAAAAATAGAAGAATTAATAAAAAAAATGACTGGATTTAGTCGTTGCGTGGAGAGGCTCGACTGGTGAAGTGGGCATCCTTGGAACCAATCATGCCCTTTTCTTAAAATTTTCTTTCTTGTCTGATATTCGAAGTTGCTCAGTACTTGTGCATTAATTATTTTTTAAGTTACAGCCAGAACAGATCAATCGTTTATTATTCAAGCAGAGAGTGCTCGCTTAGTTGCTGCCTTTGCGGGAGACTGAAAGAGACTTGTCGCCTTATTTGGAGGGCACCAAGTCAACGTTCTCAAAAATGAGTATAGCAAGACGACCTTCTAATATCTACTGCGTAGCATTCTGTGTGTGATGGCTGCTAGATATTCACAGCATGCGTATATTAAGAAGGCAATGTTTTCCTTTAATCACCCTTTCCGCCAATGGATGACTTTTGGAAATAAAAATTCGGTTTGAAGACATTTAACGCGAACACATGATCGAACTGGACGCATGTGAAGATGAACAGTTTGATTAATTGTTCCGAGAGGTTTCTGCTCACGAGAGGGAGAGCGTATGAAATGATTAGCTCATAATTAAATGACTGACAGCAGCATTTATCAAGTGCTTAGAATAGTCTTTGCCTTCACGTGGACATCGGCCCTCGATTTGCAGTTAACAAATGCTTAATCACTTGATGCCTTTTGCGGATTGCTGTAATAAGGTATCAATCGGAACAACTTAACACAAACATTACTGGTGGCAGTTCTATCTTGGTGCTGGACAGAGTCAACTGGCATGAGGTGATTTCGGTCCTAAACATCTAAACCTTCCATTGATCTAATGTAACTATACACCTTTGCATGAAGATCTAATCAAGCCCTCCTAGCCACTTATAGCATGAAATTGTTGATATGACGGTTCAGTCAATTACCAATTGTCCCATGTGAGATATGACGTGGACAACTTTACTCTCTTCTCGTACTCAACAATAATCCTCCACGCCCGTCCAGCTTGTAGATGTTGAGATCTCGGCGAGCTCGACAGCAATGGGTAGAGACTCCAGATCTCGGTGAGCTTGGCCACTCCTTTAAATGTCAGCGAGCCCCTTTTTTTGTTTGTTATTCTCTTTATAAATTGTCTTCTGCGAGCAAATTCATCAGGCTTTTGAGAGAACTAAATAACTAGTGTTTTATGGGACCTCATTGTCTCCGAGGCCCAGGTTTGGTGTAGTGGAGAAACTACTTGAAGTAATGAAGCTCAGTTATCTTTTCTGACCAAAAAAAATAAAATAAAAAATAAGGAGCCGTGCCTGCTGTTGTAGTTGCAAATCCTTGATTGTGCCCCATTCATCCATGGATTGTGGGAGTTCACAAGTTTGTCGAAATGCCGTCAGTGTAATTTCACCTCATGGTATGTCGGTGTCAGAGATCCAATGGTGAATTCACATGAGTGCTCCTCTGATTTCGGCCACTCTTCTAGATGAATAATAACAAGAAAGAAAAAGAGGAACATTAGAAAATGTAAAAATGATGCAAAACGACATGGTTCAGAGTAAAATTGTCAATGTCAAATTGTGGGCCGTGATATGTAGGATGGCCGATGATGACTGGACTATCACGTCAGTAATTTAAGCGAGATTAGGCCAGAAAAATTTGATTGGATTTTCACTCAAAAGTTTAAAACTACACCTGATTACTGAAATGGCTTACGATTGAATTAGAGTTCGTATAATCGTTTACAACTAAAATAGCAATTTTCCCGTAATCACTCACCAACCAGCAGTTTAATTAGCTCGTACGCATAGGATGATGGTTTGATGTTTGTATTGTTGTCTTTTTTGGCCACCACGTTCATATTGGTTCTACAAGCAAGGAAAAAAAGAAATAAAATAAGGCAATAGCTATATTGCCAGTATATTATAGGGATAAGTACGTTGAAAGTCGTAAAACTTGTGACGAAAGTGCAATTAAATCTTAAAACTTTCAAAAAGTGCAATTGAATTATAAAACTTGTCGCAAAAGTGCAATTGAATCCCAAAACTTTCCAAAACTGTAATTAAGTTCTAAAACTAATCGCGAAATGTAATTGAGTTCTAAAACTTTCAAAAAGTGCAATCAAATCCTAAAACTTGTTAAATTTGTCCAATCAAGTCCTTCCATTGATTGCACTTTTTGAAAGTTATAAGACTTGATATCATATTGGTGACAAGTTTTAAGATTCGATTGTACTTTTTGAAAGTTTTAGGACTCGACTGCACTTTGGTGACAAGTTTTAGGATTTGATTGCATTTTTTGAAAGTTTTAGAATTCAATTGAACTTTCGTAATAAGTTTTAAAACTTCAAGTGCGCTTATCCCTCTATCATATTACCGTTATACTAGCTTATAGAGCCTATGCACTGGTAAAAGACTTGCGAAATAGATTACAGGAAATATATTCAACCAGTGGTTAATTATTTCCATTAACTGCTTCCTAGTGGCCTCAACAACCGGCCCATCACCACAATTAATTAACACAATCGATGTAATTAGAAAAAAAATAAACTGGTCAGTTGACCTGGACTAAGCAAAGTCGTCGCTTTGTTGGCAATAGGCATTATCCGGTGAAAAGATCGTTCCATTCGCTGCTCCAAGTTGGCCTTTCCTTTTGCACTTCTCGTAGTCTTCCTCTGCTGCGCATGCTTTATGGTCATTGCCTTCCGGGCATTATCCGGCCAATGGAGTGAACCGACATGATCTGATTTTGTTATCATTTGTACACCAGCAGTTTAGTCAGCCCGTGCTCGGAGCATGTCTTAAGGTTCATATTGTTGTCCTTTCTGGCCACGACATTAATATTGTTGTCTAGAAGC